AACTCATGGTTACCCCTCCCTTGAGTCTGTAATTCTTGGACAAGATTCCAGTTCCTTATAAAGAGACAGACAAGAGTGAACGTTAAGGTAAACCATTTTTTAAAAATTGCAGTGATGAAACAAACTTAAAAAAGAATGAATGGTTCAAAGGAGAAACTAGCTCAAAAATTCTGAAGTCTCTACTAGTTAAACAAACAATAAATACTTTTTTTTCTACCGTGTCATCAAATACTTAATATTAATGGGCCATTTAAAATATAATTTTTTGTGATGAATTTTATTGATTTTCTTTGGTCATTTATTTTCCACAGCAGCAGTGACATTGATAAATTCTTGAATGAGTCATTGAGCCTCCCAACCTCAGTTACTAATCTGTAAAATGGGTGCAATGATTCTTGCCTCAGAACTGATTTTGTGAGGGTGTAGTTAGAGAACAAACTCTATCAGTGTTTTTTAAACATCAAGGTCATATTTAATCCAAATAAGGTAAAAAGGCCAGTTTTCTGTGGGACATTCTAGTAACCACCATGTATACATTAGAAATACTCAGTTGCCTACTTCCTCAGTTTTTTAATGAATCATGCTGGACATATTAAGGAAGAATAATATACATGAACACCTACACACATGCACACACACACATTTTTTTCAAGTTTCCAGTATAAAAGCTATAGGGCAAAGTAAATTTTTGAGAGCTTTGATTATTGTGTGTTTAATTTATAAGGCAAACATGGGACATTTAGAGCTTGGCTCTTTTTATCTCTGTGTTTAGATACAGCAACTTTTGGCAAACAATCCAGAACATTTCTGCCCTGAGGCATGTTAATGGATAGCAAAGAAAAATAATAAGGGCAGTAAAATAATAAGCTTTTGATCTTAATGATTTGATTTTCAAGTTGGGAAATTAAGGCACATTAACCATATGTGGTGAGTAACAATGATTCTTGCATGGAGTATCTCAGAATCCTTCTTTGCAATATCAGAAAAAAGAAAGGCCTCTGCTTTTTCCTAAAAGCTACAAGGAATGGGTTACAAGTAAGTGAAACCAAAATTATAATAAACCTCATTATAATAATATAGAGATAATTTAATGTTAGAAAATAGGTTTTTGCTTGTTCATTCAGGGCAAGCTATATCTTGCACTTGGTGGAAAGAATGCTATGAAGTTGCTTTTTAGTGTTGAGTTTAATTGAGCTTGAAGAATGGGAGAAATTGAGTAGAAGTAAGTATATGCCTTTGTTGCTGCGTTCAGGACTGGATGTAACCACAATTCTCACCTGCCATTGGAGTATAATTTCTTAAAACATCCCTGTAAAGAAGGGTGGTTTACAAAAATCCTGTTGTGATTTAGTGTGAGTGTGTGTTGAGTCTATAAATAATTCAAATGGAAATTTATTACCTTTAAATATTTTGCCTTACAATCCATGAACATAGTATGTGTCTTCATTTATTTGGGTCTTCATTTAATATTGCTTACTAAGGTTTATATTTCTTCCTACTAGGTCTTAAGTATCTTTGAAGTTATATGTATTTTGAGATTTCTGATATTTATTATTTGTCAAACGCATTTTTTAAAAAGTTTTATTTATTAATTTTTGAGAGAGAGAGAGAGAGAGAGAGAGCGAGAGCATGAAAATCCTGAGCAGGCTCTGCTGACAACATGGAGCCTGATACAAGGCTCGAACCCATGCACTGTGAGATCATGACCTGAGCCAAACCAAGAGTCAGATGCTCAATGATTGAGCCACCCAAGCATCCCTGTATATATTTTTAAAATTATGTTTGGAGTTTAGTTTGTTGCTTATATATGTAAAATACCCCTCAAAAAATAATAAAGATAGCTTAGTTCCTTAATTCCAGAGACCTTTGATTTTAAATGACAATTGTATCTGCCATGATCTACTGAATACATCTATATTCACCTTGGCAACACTATTCCTGGGACTTTATCCAACAGAAATAAAAAGCAATTGTTTTTAAGCATTATATGGCCATGGATGTTTACCATAGCATTGATTGTGAGGGCAAAAAGCTGCAAATAGAGTGAATACTAATGAATATGGAAATAATCGAATACAGGAGGTAAGCCATACAAAGAAATATTATGTAGCCATTAAACAGAAATGAATGAGAGCTATTCCAGTGGACATGAAGAGATTTCCTGGAAGTATTTGCTGAGAAAGAAAAAGGAGGAAAAGTATCTTTTATGACCCATTTTTTATAAAATACATATGCACATATACATGTTTGTCTAGTAATAAGAATTTAAAGAAAAATATGTCCATGTGTAATATATGTAAACGTACCAAATTATTAATGTGGGGAGGGTTGGGTGATGTGGCTGGTGGGGGAGGTGGAAAGCATAGCTGAGGTCTCTTGCTACTTTTATGGGTGTTTATGGTCTGGGCTGGACACCTCATTTTAATGATAATGTTGTTTTAATGAAAAAAATGTGTCCAAAAAGCTGAATCACAGAGTTCTCTATTAATGGAGACGGTCTAAATGTCAAACACTAACTGATAATTTGCATTATACTTAGATTTTAGTGAAGTGGGCAGGTTGTGTTTCCCTCAAGGGCAGTCAAAATTTTCAGTTTTGTTTTTACAAAAATAGTTGCAATTCTGGGGTGCCTGGGTGGCTCAGTCGGTTAAGTGTCTGCCTTCGGCTCAGGTCATAATCTCACAGTTCATGGGTTTGAGCCCCGTGTCTGGCTCTCTGTTGTCCACACAGAGCCTGCTACAGATCCTCTGTCCCCCTTTCTCTCTGCCCCTCCCTGACTCATGCTCTCTCTCTCTCTCTCTCTCATAAATAAATAAAACCTTAAAAAAAATAGTTGTATTACCTCAGCTAAGTCCAGTAAGCCGCTGGTCGGGCGGGCAGGGAACACATGCCCATGTGGGCGCATGCACACGCACACACATACACACACACACACACACACACACACACACACACACACACACACACACATAACGTTCGCATGTCCACACACAGCCTGCAGGTGGAGCCAGCACTGGATTGCAGGGGATCCTGAGGACTTTCTGTCATCACAGCAGGGCAAATTTTTGAGTTAGAAGAGACCCGCAGATGGTTTCCTTCACTTAAACCACACTTCTAAGGAAACAAGAGTGAGGACCAGAAAAGCGATAAGACTTGGCCAAGTTCGTATAGTTATTTAAAAGCCAGGTGGGGAACCCACACCCCAAGGTCTCCTGGATTTCAAGTCACAATTTGTAAAGTAGATGCAACCGCATGTAGACACACGCCCTGTGTGTCTCCAGGCAGAAATCATTCAGAACAAAGAAATAGCCTATTGACGTTAAGATGATTGCAAGAATACAGTGCCTGGTGGGCAGGCAGCTGACAGTATGTTTAAACATAAATGGGATATAAGGATCTGTTGCCTGTCAGCCCATACATGGTCTTTAAGTCCTTGATATAAGTGGGTAGACTTGTCCTCTGCTCATTTGACAATGATTTACTCTCAGCCAGTAAATGGAGAATGGAGAGTCTTTAGAAGCAACACTGTAAAATCCCTTCAGACTTGTCGTTGAGAAACCATCATTGTGACCTGGTACATTGGAGAGATTTTGGTAAAAAGCGCACATAAAGGAAAACCCTCATAACCGCATTCTGCAGATGCGTGCACCCTGTTATACAAAGGTAAATGTGCCCCAGTGACATCGGAATGTCCCTGAGCTGAATAATTACTTTGATTGTTCTTTCCCAACTGCTTAGTGAACCGTGTTATCCAAAGGGCTGACATTGATTTCCAGTTTTCATTTTGGCAAAATGCTGATTCTTCTTTACCAAGGGGTTTAATTAGTTGTTTATTGAAGTGTCATTTTACAATATGAGACTTCTCTCACTGTAGTCCTCTCTCCCTTTTGTGGAATAAATGCTCAGGAACAGTTATCAGTTGCCCGTCACGTGACAGGTGCCAGGCTGGGAGCTGAGGATTTGGGAGACAAGAGTTCATGGTCAGTGGGCAAGGCAGAGATGCACCTCTCAAGTTATAATGACAGAGAGCATTTGGGGGGAAAATTGTGTAGAGGGCTTCCAGGAGTGTGGAGTGGTGGGATCAGCGAAGGCTTCTTGGAGGAGGTGAGTGTTAGCCAGGATCTTGCAGGATGTGTAGGAGTTCTCAGATAGCTATGAGGGGAGCTGAGAGGAGAAGATACTGCAACCAAGAGAAGTGCAGAGCCCCTCAGTGTTAAAGCCTGGCCAGTCTGAGGTGCCTGGGTAGCTCATTTGGTTAAGCGTCTTGACTCTTGGGTTTCAGCTCAGTTCATAATCTCATGGTTTCGTGAATTCGAGCCCCAAATTGGGCTCCATGCTGACAGTGTGGAGCCTACTTGGATTCTCTCTCTCTCTCTCTCTCTCTGCCCCTCCCCAACTCATGCTGTCTCTGTCTCTCTCGAAATAAATAAGCAAACTTAAAAAAAAAAAAGAGCCTGGCCAATCTGATGGGGGGCAGGTGTGCCTGGGTGGAAGATGGGCAGGGGGCAGTGGTGCATAGAAACCAGGCTTGAGAAGTCGGCAGAGGAAGATCCTGAGAGACCTTGTGTACCATTTCAGAGCATTTACTTGGCCCATAAAGGGTGGGTACCCACCTAACGAATGGAGGGTTGTAGCCACACACATGTCTTACGAGGCTGACAATGGTAACAGGTTGGGTGCTCTGGGGCAGGGAGCTTGGGTCAGCAATACTGACTCCTTCACTAACTGGAAGGATAGCCTACTCTCTCTATGTTCATAATTGACCTTAAGAAAAAACATACACAGTCAATAAAAAAGCTTTGGGGGCTTTGTAGGAAGGAGAGTCCAAAGTGGTCTACCAGGGCTCAGATAATCAGCAGGAATACCAAATGTTTGAGTTAGGAGACTTTGAAATTTCAGGGGTTTGTGTTTTTTTTTGAAAAAAGTATACTTTAGAGACTAGGATTAGTTTGTTGGAATTGGTCCCTTTTCTAGATTTATGATACTGTTTATCCTTGTAGGTGATCCTCTCTGGAATCATAGGATTAACAACTTGGAAACGGCCTATGATACTGCTGGTATGTACTGATCTCATAAATTGTTACCCTTTGTAAAATGTGCTGTGTATGAAGGCTGTGAAATCAGTCACTGAAGAAAAATGCCCAAGCTTTCTTGTTCATGAAAAAAAAGAAGCTAACAACGGACAATGTTAGAAGTCAGATGTTCTCCTAATGACAAAGTGAGATGATAATTTTGCCAGTTTTCCTTTTTTGGGGGGTTACCTTTTTGTTGTTCTTATTATGTACCACATCGACACAATGCATAACCTTCTAGAAGGGGTGGATGAGCACAACCAAGTTATTTTTCATCAATCAGGAAAAGGCTTCCTTAATTGATATTATCCAAACCCTTTGACACATAGTAACAATTAACTCCAGAGACAAGCCTATCTCTTTGCATCAAACTCCACTGAAAAGGTTAACAGGCAGCCCTTTTTCCCTCGCCCCCCGTTACTGCACCTGTGGATGTATGCAGTGGCTATGCTAGGGATGATGAAGCACATGACCATGATGCCGATCCCGGGCAGAATCTCGAACCACATTGCACTGAGGTTGCCAGGACTGAACCCTTCCTTCCTGTCCTCCTAGAGGAAACCCGGCCTCAGTTTTGTCAATTTTCTGATTTATTTTAAGCTTCCTAATGTACCCAGTGCTGTCTATGTGTTTTTAGTTCCAGAATTAGATCTGTTGTAAAGATATAATTTAAAAATGGTTTACTATGGACATTTTTAAACCAATACTAAAGCGAAGGGAATAATATAATGAACTCCCCTACCAATCACCCAGCTTCAACAACTACCAACTCAGCCAATCTTGTTCAGCTAGACCCTTACCCATTCCTCGGCTCCCCATATTTTCCCCTGCATGTTCTTTTGAAGTAAATCTCAGACATGAAATCATGATACATAATTTTTTATTGTTATAATGCTTTGGTTGGACAACCTTACAGTTTCATTGCTTAGACTTTCTATATTCTCTATCACATATATATTTTCATGGTACTATAGGCATATATTGGTAACTTTATCCTTTTTTTTAGTTAAGGTAAAATTCACATAATACAAAGTTAACCGTTTTAGTTTTCAATTCAGTGGCATTTAGTACATTCCCGATGTTCATTTTTTTGTTTGTTTGTTTTTATTTGCTATGTCCTTTGGATTCAGGGAATACTATATAAAACCGATGATTGCGAATGGAGTTACCAACTTTCAAGATGAAGTAGAGGATCTAAGAAATTTGATTTGAAGTATATATAATGAAAACAAATTTTTTTTCTATAGAGCATTTCTTTTGACTTTTCTCCCGTTCATTTTAATGTAGGGTTAAATAGTTTTCGAAATTCATTTTGTATATACACTTAACAGTTCATCTTAAGCAGGCCACTGTTTGCTGGGCAGCGGGTGATAAATACAAAAGTAGCTAAATTCGTACATGCAAGGAGAAGAAACACACTGCAGAAGACAGAGTAATGGGTCCCAGAACTGTGTTGATGGTTTTGAACAACTTAAAAGTTTTCAGGCCCACTAGACAATTTAGGCAGCATTTTGGAAGCCCATCAATTATTACATTTCGTGAAACTCTGTAAATATTTCTGGAAGGAGTAAATTATTGGTGCAGCATTTTAATCTCTGAGATAGCAGGGTAGGAGAAAAATGAGGCTTCAGATGAGTTTTATGGCATGTGTTATGAGTGGGTGATGTTTATTTTGCAACAATTCTCTAGAAAAATGTTGGATGGTGTTCAATGTTTATACTAATATTTGGCTTTAAGAGTCATTTTTTGCCCTGATTTTTCCATTGGGTCACTATTGAAATGTCGAGTAATACATCCCTCAGGTATTTAAATTAAAATCAGAAAATCTCTAATGCTATTTGTATTTTTAAGATTCTAAGTGGGGAGGAGAATACGAGCCTGTGTTCTGGGTGGATATTAAGAAAGTTGACCTTTTAAGACATTTATTTCTCTAACATTGTTTTCTTTTAGAAAGGTGCCTCATAGATTTATTTAGTGAGCTCAAGGTACTGTAAAAGAAACTGACCTTCATAGAAATGTATCTTTATTTTATGCCTTTAAATTTATTTCTCATCGTTGTTGATAAGTATATGTACAACTTTGTCAAAGTTATAACCAATTTGTACATTCCATGTTGTGCTCTGCTTTTTCTGTTTAATATTGCATTAATTAAGTTCATATCAGTAAATATGATGTTTCCATGTACAAGGGGTCCAAACCTGCCTGAATGGCCTGCTGTCATATTTCTGTATTACCATCAGTTATAAGCCTGTTGGACCCATAGGCTTCTATATTTCAATTTGTATGAATTATGTATTCAGAAGATCATGTAGAGATTGTTTCCAAGTGTTAATTAACATCAATTTATAAAGAAGATAGATTAATTGATAGGAATTGTATAAGGACAAACTTTCTGGGTACATCAAGGGATCATTTGAGCCTTGGTCAATATCATAAGTGAAAAATCCTCAGTTCACATGAATCTTAATATTCTATTATAACTTCTGCCAGATGCTTTTGTTATGTTAAAAAATGGAAATAATCATGGGATGTAATGAAAGGAATTGGATATACCAGTCAGACACTCCTAGTGTGTGTCCTAGCTCATCCCTTGGAGAGCTGTGTAATGTACAAGCCACTTAACTTTTCTGAGTCTAGTTTCTTTTTTGCATGCAGGGGATAATCTAGTGACACCAAGGGGTACCTCTGCCCACCCTCCCCCCACCCCACTTAGTGGATGCTTCAGCTTTTCTTTGGCTTCTTGAATTTAAGGACTGTGCCCCTGGATGATTTTGGGCGGGAGGTCACGTTCCATCAGAGAGCTAGTAGGGCCCTGTAGCTCTCTGTTCCCACAGAGCAGAGTGGACTTCGCTGGTCAGTTCTAGCCCTTCTCCCCTTCACATCTTATACTCTACCCACAGCTTGTACCTTCTGATTCTGACACAGCCAGACTGTCTTATTCCAACTTGGGACCTTCTTCCCCAACTGTTTGCTGGGCTGGCTCCTTTTCTTCTGGGTCTCAGCTCAGCAGTCCCTTCCTGAGACAGACCTTCCCTGACCACCCTGCTAACAGTGGCCCTGCGTCCCTGCCTCTCATCATGTCCCAGCACGGACTTTGGGCTTCACTGTCCATAATTCACCTTGTGCTGTTGGCGTACCACTTGTTGTCTCTCTCCCCACCATAGATGGTTGTATGAAGACAGGGGTCCTGTCTGTCCTCTTCACCCTGTTTCCCCAGGGCCAGTGTGCTCCCTACACCTCTGTTGTTGGCCGTGAAGTTAATTTGGCAGTTAAAAGGAAATTTAGGTCCCAGGTTCTCGACATTTCTTTTTTACTTTTGTCTTAAATTTCTCGCACTTGTTTTTGTTCTGTAGAATGTTGTATTCTTCCCCTTTTTACTTCAGGGTGGTTAGTATGATGGTGGTGGAGGCTGGGAGGGGGCAGGTTGGTCTTTCCAGGGCCCTTTGAGAGGCCAGCTGGCCTCATTTTGAGTTGTTGGGCACACACTAATCTAGAACACTTGGATATTTCCTTTTGAAAACCATTTCTATTTGTGCTCCTTCTTTTGTGATTGTCTCAGCGATTACATTAGGTTTTATACTGGTGTGAACAAAGAAGGCTCAGTCTGACCCAATTCTTTCACACTCAAGTTTTCATGGAAACTCAGAGTTGGAAGCTTTCATTTACTGGATCTTCTTCCTTATGCTGAGAAAATACTCATGTGTCCAGAACAAAAATATTAATGTTGGAACATAGTTTGTAAATACTTATAGTTATTTTTTTAAAGAAATATTTCCTATTTAAAAAAAAGTTTAGAGTAAGAGAGAACAGGGGAGATGGGCAGAGGGGGAGAGAGAGAGAGAGTGAGAGAGAGAGAGAGAGAGAGAGAGAGAGAGAGAGAGAGAGAGAATCCCTTGGGACTCAATCCCATGACCTGGGATCACAATCTGAACCAAAATCAAGAGTCAGGCACTCGACCACTGAGCCACCCAGGCGCCCCATATTTATAGCTGTTTTTGACTATGAATAGAATGAAGCCAGGGTGTGTGTGCATGTGCATGCATTTGTATGTGCACATCATTCCAGGTTGTATATTTTCTATCAAGAAGAAACATTTCCTTTATGTATGTATGTATGTATGTATGTGTGTATTTATGTTTATTTATTTTTGAGAAAGAGAGAGAGACAGAGACAGAGTGTGAGTGGGGAGGGGCAGGGAGAAAGGGAGACACAGAATCCCAAGCAGGCTCCAGCCTCTGAGCTGTCAGCACAGAACCCAATGGGGGGCTCAAACTTACGAACTCTGAGATCATTATCTGAGCCGAAGTCAGATGTTTAACCCCAGGCACCCCCAAACATTTCCATTAAAAAAATTTTTTTTTAATGTTTATTTATTTTTTGAGAGAGAGAGAGATAGAGTGCAAGCAGAGGAAGAGCAGATAGAGAGGGAGACACAGAATCCGAAATAGGCTCCAGGCTCTGAGCTGTCAGCACAGAGCCGATGTGGGGCTCGAACTCACGAACTGTGAGATCATGACCTGAGCTGAAGTCACATGCTTAACCGACTGAGCCACCCAGGCGCCCCAAACATTTCCATTTTTAAAGAATGTTCTTATTTCTTCTAGGTATCTCCTTTTTCATTCAAATAAAATGTTTTACAAATTTTTAGAAATTATAAACTCACAGCTGGAAATGACCTAAAAGTCTTGTCTCGGCACCTCAGTTAAAAAATGGAATTGCCCTACTAAGATGTTTTTCTTTGGTGGTGCATTTGGTAAGAATTGCTACCGTGAAAGTCCAGCCAGAGTTTTGGCCTGTAATTTTGGTTTTGATTTGGATTTGAATTTTGATTTGAACTATTGTTATTTATTTATTTTTTTAATTAAAAAAAATTTTTATGTTTATTTTTGAGAGAGAGAGAGACAGAGAGTAAGTGGCATAGGGGCAGAGAGGCAGGGAGACATAGAATCTGAAGCAAGCTCCAGGCTCTGAGCTGTCAGCACAGAGCTCGATGTGGGCCTCGAACCCACAAGACCGCAAGATCATGATTCGACCTGAAGTCGGATGCTTAACCGAATCAGCCATCCAGGCGCTCCATATTGTTTTTTTTTTCCCATGCAGTTTGGAAGAGATGGGATGAATATGACCTTAAAGCTGATAAAAAGACAGCTTTATTCTTTAGCATCAAGAATGAAAGTACTTCCCTGGTAATGTTCTTCGGTCACATATGTGGTTTATTCCCAGCTATGAGCCATGTGGATTTGCACCCTAGATGGACAATAGAAGAGGTTAATAAACTGGCTATTTTAAAAAATGATCCGTCAGTTCCCCTTCTAACTTCAATATTATGGAATTTAGGGTAAAACTTCATTACCCAAAAAGAGACTCAAAACTGGTTTCAGTAAGATATATAGACATTCTGCCCCTCTCATCTAGTGGTCCAAATAGGCTAGGCTGGCAAGGTGGTTCTGTTCCACAAAGCCATTTGGGGATCCAGGTTCTTTCCATTTTATTGTGCCTTGAAGGGAGAGTCATGGATCACACAGATCCTTGGTCAAGAGATTGAGAAATTAGCCCACCAGATAGTTAGATACTTGTAGGTAGGGGTGCCTGGGTGACTCCATCGGTTAAGCATTTGACTCTTAATCTCAGCTCATCTTGATCTCAGGGTCATGAGTTTAAGCCCCGTGTAGGGCTCTGCACTGGATGTGGGGCCTACATAAAAAAAAAAAAAAAAAAAGAAAAGAAAAGAAAAGAAATACTTGTAGGTACGTTAGCTGCAAGATGGACGGTGGTCCTTTCATTCTGATGACATAGAGACCAGGAGGGATCAGAATACCTGTGTACACTTTAGGAATCTGTACATTTATAAAATGAGCTCTGAATTTGTACATTCTGGTTCTTTCACATATATTTCCTAGCGGTCAAAAATTTGGAATAAGCCTTGGTTTGAGAGTTCAAGAAACCTGCATTTTAATGCTGACACGTTACCACTAATTATCTGTGACCTTGGGGAAATCTCATGGTTTCTGTGACTGAAAAATGAGGCACTTACATCAGAACGTTCTTTTTAAGAGTCTTTTAACTCTCATTTTGTAGATTTCCAGAATCCTCTTTAGTTACCCGGAGGGCGTTTTAACTTTAGATGGACATTTTCAGCAGGCCATTAGAAGCTCCCTGTGGATAAATGCTATGATTATTTCCCTCTTGTTTTTTTTTTTTCTAAGGTATAAAATGGATGGCTGTTCTCCCTCTTCGGAATACTTAATAATAATCTGCTGCACATATATAATGCTTAAGAGTTTATATCTTTAGTCATGTGATTTGCATGGCAGGTAGTTTTCCTATTTGATAGATAAGGGACCCGTGGCTCAGGAGTTAACGGACTTGTCCAGTTCACAAACACAGGAACTATTTTTAGAAAGAACCAGGGACGGTGACTCCTAGTCTAGTGCTCCTCTCATTATACCATTCCATCACCTCCTCCGTTAGCACATTCCTGGGTACTTCTCTCTGGCAGAAGTGTGTGTGTGTGTGTGTGTGTGTGTGTGTGTGTGTGTGTAATTCAAATTAATTATTTTCTTATTTGTGACTGCCCAGTTCTTCTTTAAGTTCCACAGTGGCAGGAGGTTCAGCAAGTTTATCCTTGATTGAAAAGAGCCAGAGGCAGAACTGAACAAGGTAACAGGAGGTTGGCTTGGAGTCTTAGTCCTGCTACAGCCAACCAGTGAGCGGCCAAGGAAATGATCTGATCCATTTTCTCACATGTACAATGGGGATGCACCCACCTCTCAGGCTTGTAGACGGGGATGCATGTTGAATCTGTAACATGTAAAACAAGATCTAAGGCTAAGCAACCACCTTATAAATCATTTTCAGCAGCCACTGAGAAAATCTTTGAGAGGAGATTTGGTCTGTTGGTTGGCTGTGTCGTTAGGGAACCTATGGCGGCAAGGTATGGACTTAGGCATCATGAAAGCCCCCCGGGCTGGCTTTGGGCTTCTCTGCGACCACAGTGGGTTTAGTCTGCTGGCAACCGAGCTCTCATTTTTCTGCTCTGATTGGCTGCTCCCCAAAACTGTGAATTGGGTGAGAACCTGGCATCCTCACAAACTGGAAGCACTTTGGGTGGCCTGTCTCTGGGCAGAATCAAGGCCCGGCGACTCCTTGCTTTGCAGAGTGGCCTCAGCCATATGGGTGTGCTCTCTATAGCAGGTTTGGTTTGGCAGAGACAGGTAATCACCAAAGCTTTGGGGGACCTTCCTGCCAAGTCAATTATTACAATGAAAGTGAGCCTCAGGCCAAATTCTGCTGTACACACAAACACTTATTAGCCAACAGACGAAACAAGTGTTCATGCACTCTGTTCTGTGAGTGTAAAGGGTAGAGGGCTAAGATTTTTATTGAGCTTACAGAGCAGTGTGAACAATTTTTTACCTCTAATTTTAGTTGCACCCATTCGTCTTGAAAACCATTGCTGATTCCCTGAAATCCTATGGAGCAAGCAGACAGAGCTCAGTTGATTGGATCTGCTGCAGTAAGGGAGGTGTTCTCAGAAGGGGTGAATCAAGAGAGCATGTTTGTAGGGTTGAGGACCCCTGCTGGGGGATTGTAAGGTGAGCTTTTTGAGATAGGGAATTGATAGGGTTTGAGCAGAGCTTATCACATAATAGCTTTGGATTGGTGGGTGAATGGGGGGGAGGGCCTGGAAGCAAGATGTGATGAATAACCTGTTAGTTTTGCTCAACTCTTTTAGTTGGTTCCCAGTCTTACATTTGAGGAACAAGTATATCCTGGGGCAAGTAGCTAAGTTATCTTGCTTGTTTTCAGTGTTGTTTAATATAGAGTCAGAAAAGTATGGCCAATCCCAGAATTGATTAACGTTGGGACAGGAAATATGTTGGTTTTAGATCTCACCACGAATTTCATGGAGAACCCATTTTTATCATCCATTGTGCTAATTAAACAAGCCAACGGTTCCATCCACTGAACAAAACTCATTTCCATAATCACTCTGCTAATTTAACAAAGTTGCTCAGATGCTGTTGAGAAATGAAGGCAAAGGAAGCTTCTGGAGTGTGGCCTTTCTCATAAATGCTAGCTGACTGTCCTGGAATTTGAATTCCTGACTGCCCTTAGGGTGTCGCTTGTTCCAACTGATATGTACATAGTATCCCACTGTCTGTGCCGAAGTATTTCGAAGTGCATTGCAGACACACTGTGGTGGTAGCTGAGTGTCTGGGTTACAGACTAACAGACTAGAGGGATCTATTTCTGATATGACTACAAGAGAACTGCAGGAACAAAGAGTGATTTGGGGCAAGAGGGGAGACCCTTTTGAGTTGGCGAGCATCTTGAAACAGATACATTGTCATGGGGAAAGTTATGATGTGTGGAGTGCCACTGTGTGTGTGTGTGTGTGTGTGTGTGTGTGTGTGTTTAAGCCTGGGGGATCTATACATATGTGTTTGTTGTCACTTGGGAAATTTTTGAAATGATATGCAAGAAAGCATTTACAGAAGGCACTTCTGTTGAGTGCAGTGGGAAGGGGAATGGGGGAGCCTGACTTTCCACTTTATATTTGGAGAGGACATGCATTATATTGTGCAACCAAGAGGCTGTTTTGGTTTCCTTGTTTTGTTTGGGTTTGGTGGCCAGTATCTCTGTATCAGAGCTCTCTTTTTGGGTTTTGTTTATTTGCCTTTGTATGAATCTCAGTGGGAGGCAGGGCCATGCCTCAAGTGATGGAAGCTTCCGAGGCCAGATGCTAACACTTCTGGACGCCGGCAGCCAGGATGTGAGCTCCTTGACCTCCAC